AAGGAAAGGTCATGGTGTGTTGCGTGGGCAGGATACTGTCAGGTTGCCCAGGCCTAGACAGGAGAACGATTAGGGTTCTCAACCAAAGCCTTTGGTTCGAAAACCTTACCGCAAGACAGCGGGGTTTTGGCATTGGACTACAGAGAACCCGTTTTATGGAGTAAGGAGCCATCCTCACTTCAACCCCTAATCTGGAGAGCCAGGAGACTGAGTTTGTCTGGCCTCTAACCAGTGACCAATGAGGTATGAGTGGCTCTGAAGGTGCAAAAAGTAGCACCCAGCATAGCTCAATGGATCACTGAGGGACACAAACTATCGCACCACGTTAAGGTCCAGTCTCATCGCTACCCATCTAAAAGCTCAGTCGCCGTCTTAACACCTGAGTCTCGTCAGGATACTGCGTTGCTTTCTCAATCGGCGGCTAAAAGAATGTCCACGCGCTGGGTATGAAACTTGGTGAGCAAAACGTGCTTCGGTACTACAGGCTGTTAAGACACAGACACTTCCAGCTAGTTCGGACCACCAGTGATAGGAAGGCTGAACTTAGTTGGCCGAGTATTTTTACTCCTAGGTTATCTGATTTCCACCGTCCGCCAGAGTTCCAGAGTATACCCAACTGTACGCCGGAACCGACAAACGAAACTGTTTCAACACTTGAAGCAATACAACGTGCCGGTTTAGTCTAAGCTTCTCCACAGCTGTTCAAGGATGGTAACGTAGAAATTGTGAAGCAGACGACAAATCTGTGTATGACTGGCTGGCATAGGAAAATGGTGTCTTCTTGAGACTAGACGGTTACTGTCTAGACTTGTTTAAAAATCCACTCGTATTTTACACGTAAACCTCATTACGCTCGCGTCTAAATCGCTAGCACCCAATCTCAAATTTCTGGATCACTATCGCGAAGAAAAATCAGGTATCTGTCCGACTAGGAGTGGTTTTAAGCCGAAAACTACAACTAGCACTAGCACAGGTCTATCGTCAAACAAATGAATGGTATATCCCTCGGCGGTGCGAGGTACAGGCCTTAGAGACAACAGATCCGCAGCCGACTCATCGATCGAATTCTTCATTATCCCAGCTGCAAAAGAACGGAGTCTATGGAAAATGCCGTCGTTCTTCGAGCGCCCTACGTCAGTTAAGTTGGCAGTTCATGACACACACAATATTTTCATTGTCACTAGCGTTGTGCAACATGTCTCGCAGTCTATACACACAGACTTGTCCAGCTAGTTATGCTTCCACTAATAGTGTTATCGGAAGGGGAGAATCTCTGCCTGTTGCAAAGGCCTGATCAACGCTGTCATTACTGTATGGGACAGGGCGTAAAACCCACAGTTCCCGTGATGTTGCACGAAGGCGAATCCTAACTAGATCACTTAGATGAAATGCGTTGGCTTTCAACCCTCAACAGAAGGAGACCGCTCGCGTATGGTGGGAATATAAAGACCATAGTAAGGAAACTAGACGTAGACGTCATGTTCCGAAAAACCGAATTCTTTATCGGGTAGGCCTGTCATGCTGCAACAACTGAGATGGCATGGTCACACTCCAGGCAATTGACGGAGGATTTTACTGTGTTGTAATTGCTCGCGAAGCGTGGTATCGGAAACGGCTGCGGTGATCAACCTACTAACTACCGAAAAAACAGATCCGAACAAGGATACAGGAGACTCACTTTGTAAGATAACGCTGCTTTTGTTGCATTTTAATGGACCATAAACATGCAACTAATAATAAGCTCGGCAGGGACAACACCCCGTAACATCGATCGGCCCATGGCCGAAAGGACAAGGCGTCTACTTTGCAATCCGGACGTCACTGGGTCGATCCTGCGTAGGAGACCGGGCGACTCTTGCAGTATCCTTAATTTTCGTGCGCCCGGTGGTGGTTACGTGGCAGTGAAGCGTCGGTACGGCGTGCTACTGATGCTTTCCACATCGATCGATGGTCTTCACGCTACCGTGGTAAGTTAAACATCACCATCAGCTGATTTTGCGCACAGCACCGTAGACGTTCGCGGTCGATAACAACGACTTCAAGGAGCTTAGGGATGTGAAGCCTTTGATTACGCATAGGGATCATGTATGGTGCATAAAGGTTGACCTGGTGATCGGTGTTCAGTAACTACCTCAGCGGTTGCCGAGACAGCCCTGTTTGTTAATTACATGTTGAAACATCAAATGTTCGATTTGTTTGCGTAATCACTAACATAAGTTTTCGTCAGCTCGGACAACCAGGCTCTGATCGCTGACTAACACCACTGCGACGTGGTGGATGTGACTCGCTGCAATATAAATCACCGCCGCTTTTTCACTCTGGTGGAGCAGTGTACTCCGACAACGCGATGCAGTAATCGCAAGGAGGATTGGGCCCCTGTTTAATAACCGGCTAAACGAAAGGCGTTTGAACTGATCAGTCACCGGCTCCCAATGGCCTCGCTCTCCTGCTTTGCGCGTACGTTATTCAGCAAAACGCTACGGAGGATGTCCCATAATTCAATTCTCTTCTTTGACTCGGGCGGCCGGTTAGTACCGTCCCTTCTGAAAAAACAATGAGTCGCTGCTGTATTCGGTTCTATTTGTACCACAACCATATTTTTCATTTCTATGACCTGATGATTGTCGACACATAGAGTGCTGATAAAAACACAAGAACAACTCGAAAATAAAAACACCTATCAGCAAATATCCTACAAAGATTCTGGGAAGCAAAGGTCAAGTGCACGCTCAAAAAACTGAGGCGAATGAGATAGATCGCGAACGAGAAACTTTCGCGTTGTAGCTGGTGGTGGCTAGATCCTGACAGATGGTCTACCCACTGCTGCTACTGTTGTGCCATGGGCTCATGTCTTGGATGCCTCCTCGTGGTGGGAGTTAGGTTACGCTCTTCTCCTAGCTAAGAGCCAGGATACCAATCCGCATGAGTCAGTGAACTGACCATGTGCTAGACCCGCTGCCTTTCGGGTGTGCATTTAATCGAAGGCTTTGGATGAGGACCCGAGTCGTTCTCCTGTCAGGAGTGGGCGCCCTGCCAGTATCCTAGTCCATCCTTTTCGGAGGTCAGGAAGTGGTCGATGGCCCTCTTCCCGTAAAACCTAGCCATGGGAGACAACAGGTCTACGGGTTATAAGCTCACAGCTCGATTGCGTAGAGCACGAGCGCCACGCATTGTCTCTGACGGTGGGAGGACACCTCCAGGTGTTCAATGGTTTGCTACTGCCCGCCTCAAGCCAGGCAGCCCCTGGTAAATTGGCGCAAACCCGCCAAAAACCACCTGCGTCTGGCCGTGGTCGCAGGTGCGGATCCTACTACGGTCGCAAAATATATATAAATCGCTCCAGTACCTCAAAGGCTACGTATGACGGCCGTAAATTTGTCACTTTTACAAACACGTACGGTCCGACTATGTGCTATCCTGATGACATACGTGATCAATTCTACACTCAGTTATCTTCCGTGATACGGTTTGTGTCGAGGAGCGACCGACTATTTCTCCTGGGTGATTTCAACGCGCGCCTTGGACATGATGTATCGGTGTGGACAGATGTCATCGGTCCGCATGGAATTGGTTCAGAGAATACGAACGGTGACAGGCTGCTCTCACTGTGTGCCACGGTGTGGTTGCGGTTGATGTGCATGTTGACAAGGCGTCTACCTGTCTAATACCCACTACCTCGTCCATACTGGCCCTAGGATACAGTCGGTCGTTGCTGGAAGAGACGGAGTGCACGGTCCTTGTGTTAGGATCAAAGAGTGGTTCCATCCAGTGTAGAGCGGACTACGGTTCAGCCAGCGCCTTGTGTGCGCTTGATTCCCCAAATAGAGCGTGCATGTGTTTGCCTGTGAAGGAGTGTGGGTCGGCTCCATTGATGAAATGTGGCTCCCATCCACATGCCTCCCGGTCTTGTTCCTTCGGGTTTACACTGGATATGGGGTGTGTGGTGTAGCGCAAGCCACCTATGGTCCCACTGTAGGCACAGGCGTGCTGTAGCTGGCCACAGTGACAGGCAAATCCGAAACCGAATACCGCTAACCAAATATAGTACAAACAATTGGTCTGCACTTTCGGAAGCTGCTAAATGGGAAAAATGGATATAGGTCCGAACATCTGAACAATGAAGAGCACTTACTACAAACGTGTAATGCTCACCGGCTGTCTCTAAGCAACACTGCATTCCATACGATGCACACCGATGTGTTGCTAAGCGTTCTTCGGCAAACGAATTAGTAAAACTTGCTGTAAGCTTCAGGTCCCACTCTGGAATGCCACGCATTCTGATCGTTTGTTTGCAATATGATCACGACCTAGTACATTGCACATTGCCCTTGGATCTTACCAGAAAGCGCAGTGAACGGTTCTCACATTGGTTGCTGAGTCGTCGCAGCCCACAGTCTGACAATTCAAAGCTCTCATCCAACTACTCTGGAGTCGCTGTCCTTCGGTACAACAGTATGCCGCTGTGCATAACATAGGAGTTTCCGATTGCGGCACACAACAATGCGTACCTGAAGGCCTGCGAATCTTGAAGAAGAATCGCTACTGGCATTGAGCATATTGGTGAATAAACGATAAGGGCACCAGTTTGGTACAGCGGGCGCTAGATTCCTGGAACGCTGGGTTAACGCAAGGGTGTTGGTGTCCTAAATCGCAACATAAGCAACTATACGTTAAAATGAGGCTGTCAGCCTCTTGATGGATATGAAGAGGCATCCACGAGTAGGTAGGTGGTCGAACGACGGGTGTGTTTTTTTAGTCGTGCGAAAATGATACACACACAGGACTGGAGAAACCGAGCGACGTAACGTAGAATCGACGTCAGAGTGAAGTGAACCTTCTGCGTTGGGTGTCCTGGCCAACGGTAAATCGAATAAGACAGTGTTTACCGAATCACTTGTTGATGAAAAACCCAAATGTCTTAATGATCAACAATCGAAAGACCTCATGCGAAGATCAAAATCGCAGAATACACTGAACCTGAAAAGCAATCATGAGAACACTTACCATTCGCAAATCTTCTTATGAGCACGCATCACGGTGCTTTCAATGTCAACTGGATGGAAACGCATACCCCGAAGCATGATAGCTTCCTCCAAACTACCAACGACAAAAATGGCGTCGTGTAATTCTGAAGAATAAATGGAACGAAACAAAGACGTTGGCTTCACAGAGAAACGAGAATTGAGTTAAGTGGAGAGGAAGGCTACTGAATCGTCACGAGATGTTACTCTAATCATAAAGTGAGCTTTCTTAGCGTCAACCTTTCACAGTCGGATTGCTACACTCCTCTGCTCTGAGGGATTTTCATTGACAATCACGTACAGATGAACACCGATAACTGCCATTTAGCCCTGTGTAGTTAGGAAACCGTTTCACGAAACTGGAAATTTCTACAAGCCGACCTACATTTCCGGCGATCTGCCATCGGGCTACATGGATGTAACACGAGCAAGAGTGTGGGAAAGTGACACACGATAAACAGAAGTCGACAAGCCACATCAACTGTTTCCCTTTGTACTGCATTTGACGACCGCGTTTGATTGCGTGGACCTGGGTCCACACAGACCGAAGCAATAGAGACGAAACGAGTAACCGTATTGCACTGGTGTCATGGGCCAGGCCATACGGTGCGAAGCGAGACTGTCGAATACACTAAACAGAACAGGGCAATTAGAAGGTTTGTTATGTCGGTGTTTCATGCTGAGGTTGGTATAGCATTTATTGTTTCTTCACCGCAGTTGGGCTAGAGCGACCCACGCTTATGCTTATTCTACAACATATTAGATTTAACGGACTCAATTTCATTATACATGTTTATTTCTGTTAATCGTCCGCAGATTCACTGCCTGTTTTGTGCGCTTTTTTAGTTACTTTCGTTGCTAGATGGTTGATATCACCTGACTTATACTTGCCAAGAGCACCCTAACGCTAGACCAGACATTTTTGTTGTGCTCTGTTCTGTCATTCTGCGCACATTTACGCCAGTTTGCGTGTTTATTCTCCTTCATGTCCTGTGGTTGCTATTTGATATCCCCGGTGTGGTTGTGTTTGATATGAATGTGCCTATCGAAAAATCCCTACCTTGATTGTTCTGGCTCTAAGAGGCAGCTGGTCGTTGCTTGAGTAAGCGGGGTGCACGGTCTTCGTGAACATGCTAGGCTCAAATAGTGGTTCCATACAATGTGGAGCAGGTTAGGGCCTTGTGTACGTCTAGTACGCGTGATTGGCAAATCAGATAGACAGGAATGATGCTGTTGTGCGTGTTGAAGGAGCGTGGGCCGGCTCCGTTGATGATACCTAGTTCCCGCCATGACTCGATCTTATTCCTTCGGATTTACACTGGGTATGGGGTGTGTGAGTCGTGCAACGCAAGCCACCCTCTATCTCTGTAGGTGCAGGCGTCCTGTGACTGTCCTATGGAGGCCACCATGACAGGCAAATCTGGGATCGGATGCCACCAAGCATATGTACCGCTGCCATGAAAATGACTCATTGTCCGGCATGTAACTCTCATAGGGAACTATGAGGACCTCAGCGAGAGCAGTGCGATAACAAAATTTAGGTAGCTAGGGGAGGAAATCGTCTTAATGGCAAGAAACGCCCTATAGCGTGAACTGTAATGATGGGGAACCCGGAAGAAATAAAATCAAAGTAGCCTAGCAGAAGTGCTTATCATATAGGCGTAGGACCCATTGTTAGATGTGGAGCCCGAGGAACTTGAAGATACCCGAATAACTGAGTCAATATGATTATCAGACGACATGAAGCGTCGGAAAATTTATTCGTAAACTGCACAACTAAGTTTCCAAATGCGTTTGCGTCAGCAGAGAAGAAAACAAACATGAAAATCAAGTGAGTGAAAACCGGACATGCGGAAGTGCACAATAATAGCAAGAAAACAAAAGAAAAAATTTCACTTAGTCAACTAACCGCCGTCTGATTGAGTCAGCTCAGTTCGTCGAACAAATCCTAGGAAACCGGTTCGCGCATACACACGTCCGGTGTCACCGGTCACCAAACGAGCATGAAGTGCATCTGTTGCATTAGATCCAACGACGGACTGAGATGAGGATCCGGGAGCCCGACTCAGACTAGCACTATCGAATGGACCGAGCAACTCCGTCGAGTTGTGGGGCGAAGAGACCCAAATTTCACCTAATTGTGAGTCCGCACATTGGCCAAAAGTGTCCGGATTGGCAATGGCCACGTGAACACCGGGTAAAAGCTAGTGGCGGATGAGAGGAAAAATGAGACAAGCAACACCGAGACCGACAAAAAAGAACATCAAGAACAATAAGCTATCACGGATAAAAGGCGGATGCTTAACTAGCCCCGCGGGAAGGTCGGGGTGAAAAATACAAAATAAGGAGATTATTGTGACCACCGTCAGCAGCTATCGGTGAAGCCAGATCAGGCGTGGAATTGCGGATGAAACTTCACGAGGAACTACTCCGCATAAGAGCAGGTACCCAGAAGACGGTTACACAAATATCAAAGGTGTCAGCAATACGCCGGCACGCAGTACCGATGCTTCGTTGTCGCTCAATCACCCCCGGTCGCATGTGGACTAAGGATACTGCGAGGGTCGTCCTGCCTCTAGGCAGACCCGAGCCCACACAGTCAGATTACAGGACCAGATTGTTACCTCTAGGCTACGAGCCGTATTACTGGAACTGCCTACATCTACTTTCCGTAATTTTATTACTTTTAATCAATTGAACACCGCAAAATCCTCTCTGGGAACTACCTTGTAAAGCTCAAAAAATATCTTTCTATCAACTGATTGTCGTACATATTGCTCAGACTGCGTAGTTGGTCTGTCCCGCACCGTCGGGAAACGTACAAATTATTAAATAAAAATGATACACTGGCGGCAAACAGGTGAATGCTTTAAAAATGTACCAATGTGTGACGATAATGAGAAAATGGAAACTGAATATTCGCGTACGAAACAGTTTGAAGTGCAGTTAATTAAGTGAACGAAGTTAAGCAGAATATTCAATTTCATTTCGAAAGTAACTAGAATAGCAGAGGAAGCAGCTGTCTGGTAGTGCTCCAACCATCGCGGCGAGACTGTCTTAATCTGGTGCGATGGATTGCATGCCTCCACGATCCACTGAGCTGGGTTGTGCATTTTGCATCTTCAGAGCCATCCATACCATGTGGGTAAATGGTTATGGGCCAGATAAACTCAGTCTCCTGGCTCTCTAAATCGGGATTTGGAGTCAGGGTTATTCTGTACTCTGTAAAACAAACTCTGCAACCTAGTGTTAAAACGCCGCTGCCTTGCGGTCAGGTTTCTGGCCTAAGGGCTTTGGTTAAGGACCCTAATCGTTCCGCTTTCTAGACCTGGACAACCTGACAGTGTCCTGCCCAAGCAATACAATGAACATTTTGCACACAATTTCTTGCTACACTGACCGTCACAGAGGATAATTAACGGCGCCTTATTTGCTGTATTGAGCAAGGTGGATAGGGGTATGGATGCTACTGCTCAAGTCTTCCCGCCTTCTTATTCATCCTCTTGCGCATTTTCATTTTCATCGCCCCCTTGTAATCTCATTTGTTTCCGCCATTGTTTTCAGCCTCCAAAATTCTTAGCCTTCCCTCATCTTGCCTTGGCATGCAGTTGTCTACTAGTTTCAACTCATACGCGCAATCGCAGGGAGTCGCTCCGGTCAAATCGACAAGTTCGCGTTCGACCAAACAGACAACGTCAGTTCATCATTTTTGTTTTAGATCCCTCGATCCCCGCTAAGACCGGCATGCCACAACGTGCGCATTTTGTTACAAATTGGCCGACAGGTAGAACTTGCCCAGATCCGCCTGCAAGACTGAAGCTCTGTGCTCACTGCGGTACCCCCAAATACGACACTGGTGGCACTTTCTTAGTGAGCTTGTCTAGAGATGACGAAACTTCAAATACCGATGTCGGCGTCGCTTCAAGTCACCGGGCTCAAGCCGCTCGGGTAGGTTGGACTCCAATCAACAGTCGGATGTGCGTTGCCACATCAGTTGGCTCCTTCAAAGCTTCAGGATCGCGCGCCGACAAAAGGTGTCTGCTAGCCATCGCGGTCTAAGCCCCCACGAAGTGTAGCGCACAAGATGAAAGGTGACTTACATAAAAAAGTTAACGAGATTCCTTGTTGAAAGAAAAGCAGGGATACTGTGGTTCTGACTTGTGATATGAAGGCAAAAGTTGGAACACTTTCCACTGATGAGCTGCAATTGGACGGCCAACACGGTGTAGGCTCCCCTAATGATAACGGTGAGTGGTTTTTATACATGCATGAAGATGCTGGTCTATTTATCGCGAGCACTAACTGCCGACACAGCACCCGCCGGAGGGTGACATTGCACCTACTAGCCTCTGCCCAGACATGGACGCGAATCTACCACATCGCTATCAGTTACCGTTGGAGGGGGTGTGTCCAAAACTGTCGCTTGATTTGGAGTACGAGAGTGGACTCCGATCACGGACTTGTGGACGCCCGCAACGGCACGGCGAGCGCATAGGCATCACCAACTAGGGAAGCCATGTGTTCTGAACGCATCACAAACTGTACTGGCATCTGAGCTGAGTAAATGCCAAATGCACAGAGCTGAAGATCTATAGTCGCATATGCGTCAGATGTTATTAACAGCAGGTACGTCTTCTTGTGGGAAATCCGATTTAAAACACGTCCACTGAATCTATATGTAGTCTATAGAGCTCCTGGATGTTCGCAAACAAATTCAGACTTGAAGCGAACACGAGACTCACAAAGACCTCAAGGTGGAAACGGCATGCTAGCCTGAAGAGGGAAAGCGAAGCCTGGCGGTCTCATCGTGCGTCAGAAGTGGAAACAGCCGTCGCCATTGCTAACGATCGAAGTGATTCCGTCTGATACGGGAAATGGGTGGCAGGAGGCTTGGTAGTAGCGAGACCGCACGTGATGAGAGAGGACAGCCGATCCACAGCTTGTCAAAAAGCTTGGAGTATTGGGCAGAACTTTTAAAATGCAGTTTAGCCAACCCGAGTTATCATCTTCCTTTTTGGGGATTGATTGATCTTCTCTCTTGGCCACTCCTTGGATCCATGGTCATGTGCGGAAGTCGAACGTGAGGTCAGACTCTTGGAGTGGAATAAGGCCGCAGGAGCACATGGACTTCCACCATTCCTTCTAGAATCTTGGGACCAGCTCTCGTGTATGATTTGCAAAACTTACTAGGGAACCTGTGGGAGCAGGAAACTGTCCAGAAAGACTGGAGCCGCTTCGTCATAGTCCTAGTTTTCAAGGGGGGGGATTATGTTCGGAATGCGGAAATTATTGAGGGATCAGGCTGATTACAATTGCCTGTCTGTCCTTCTCCACAGACTGGCTGATAGCTGTGAAAGCCAAATTCGCGAGGAGTAAACCGGGTTTCGTCGAAGTTGTATTGCTCAAATATTTACAGTACGTCAGTTGTTGGAGTACCGCCATACTTATTGCTGACAAACCGTAGTCGTGTTCATAGAAGTCAAAGATGCATTCGATTCGGCGGATCGATGTGCTCTTTGGGACTGTGCTCAGAAAAGGTTCGCCCGAGAAATACGTGAGAACGCGCGTACGGTTCGGACAGAGTGAGGGTTAATGACAAACTGTCTCCGCCCTTTACTATCTACAGCGATGTGACATAAGGCTGCTCGCTGTCACATTTCCTCTTTAACTTTGCCACTGACGACGTCATGGAAAGTGCATTCATTCACCACGACCTACAAGGTGTGGAGCTGCTTCTTGACTTGTAGTACGCTAATGACATGTTCCCAATATGTGACAACTCCCGAACATGTCAATCAACACCGGATGTATTAGCACTGGCTACCAGTCGTTTCGGACTATGCTTTGCACCCTCGAAATGCAAAGTCCTCCAACGTTGGCAGGAACTCACCCACGTCTGCACTGACTGTTGGTGGTGATCAGCTAGAAGTCGTATCTAGGCCGCTATATCAGCTCATCGGAGGCCACAGTGACAGGAAAATTCGGACACGGATGCCGCCAATCCATATCAACCCCAGTGGACTAGAAGATGAGAGCACGAACCCATAGCAAAAGCTCGAGACGCCTTTGCTAATCTCGGCCACTTGTGTCGCGGATTCGACATCACTCTCGCCCTGAGGAGCGGAGTTTATAATGCAGCCGTCCGTACAACCCGCCTGTGCAGTTGAAAAACCTGGCTGATCAGATCAACAGAGCTAAAGGGGCTAGTTACATTCGATCACCGCTGCTTTCGCAGTTTAGCTCATGTCTGGTGAGATCTGTGCGACTTGAGATGGTAGATACAACAGATTGAATCTGCTCAATTTGTACTGACATCTAACAGCGGTTTCAATGTGGAGGGCTCAGCTGCTACCTGCACAGTTGGAGTCGCCGAACAACGACGGTATTTGCTGTGGCGAACTTGGCAACAGTAACTCTGGATTCAGTCAGCAGTGTCATACCCCTGTAGCATCATTTCATGGTGATCAAGAGAAGGCCTATTTCTAAGTTGTCGCAAAGTGCACGACGAACTGCAGATGTTTCCAATACTTTTTCCTCTGGGTTAACCTACACATTGACTAAACCAAAGTATATCAAGACTCAAATATGGGACCGTGTATAGGCAGCAGTAAATCGGTATTCTATACTAGTACCTCGGTGCCACTCGACCACAAATACGTCACAAATGAGGAATAAAACAGCTTAGATGCTATGAACAAACGCATTAGATCTGGGCGCCTAAGCATCATCAACAACAGATGACCATAAATGAACGGTTAAAGTATTAGGACGAATTGGTAACAGCAAATCAGCTTGTTTGTGGCTTTCATTGTCCCGCGCTATGATTAACCCTACTCATAGGATGTGGTCTATGGTACTCGTTCTCGTACTTATCTGCTTGTATGACTGCGAACATTTGTGTGACGCTTGCGCCAGCAGAAAAAAGCAGTGGTGACGACGCACCACACTAGTGTAAACCAGAGTGGATAACACCAGATTTGGGCCGCATCCATTCAGGGAGTATTTCACAGTGCTGCGTACAGTTTGGTCGCATACCCACCTCCGAAAGCGTTTTGGATCTCCGCATGGATCATATTCACTGTGTGTAAAGGCATCATGATGAGTGAAAGTACCGTTGGAACTGCTACTTGTCCGAGTAAACTAATGCTCCCAGTTGATGTACACACTCCAAACACTGCATAGGTGACGCAGTTGTACTGAATCATTTGAGTTCATCCCCACTAACAGGCAGATGACCGATTTAACCCCGCTTTATCGGTGGGATAAACTATAAAACTGAAAGCCAACCAGTGGCCCAAAGAGTTGTCAGTAACGGATCCAAACACACTGCTGAAGTGTGTAGGTTTATACATCAAATGATAGCAGTCGGTTAAAACCTACACAATAAGTGCGTGGCGGTCACCATACATCTACAAGTCTGCATCACCCGACGAAAGAAGCACAATGTGTGAACAATGTGCACTTTTAACATAACGTTGGTTAGTGACCTGAAGGCGCATGGGATCTTCAGAAAGAAGGAAGGAAGTCTCATTGTGGTAGATAACAATATCCCGCATCGTAATCTCGTATGCACGGTCTTCAATTAAACCGATGGAAATCCCTTTCATGGAGTCATTTCTGACGTTTGTAGTTTACACCGTCATCAATACCAGGTTAAACGAACCGAACAACGCCTGAGACATTAAAACAAGGGAGGTATAGCATCATTGGCAAGGGACCTACCCTACTCTCCGGGGTTGACCCCTATCTTTTATCTCCACTTGTGGCTCCAAGAAGCTGCTGGCTTGCAGTCACCTGTCAGGGTAAACCAGGTGAGGGTAGCCGGGAACACCATTCTCGGTGAATATCCACCCACGCGCAATGTCAGTCCTGACAACTGGGCGGAAGAGATCGACCCCTGATCCAACAGCCAGAAGTTAACTTCCCAGATCCCTGCTGCTTTGTATGTAGTAATGGACTGTGAACCCTCGATCATAAATCGGATGATGTTGCGATCCTCATAGGTACTATAATCCCCACGAAATTTTATTACATGTCGGTTACCCGCGATCCTTCTCATGCTACGGTTCCCAGTAGGCGACGCGCTCTGTGCTGACCCAGTGGCCAGATTGACAAGTAAGCTAGCCATTATTCATTGGATGCTGGAATGTCAGAACACTGTTGGATGTCGGCAGACGAACGCTGATCATGAGCACACTACATGACTACCAGATCGACATAGCGTGCCTGTCAGAATCTCGAATACTCGGCTTTGTCCGGGACAAATCAAATTCCTTGGTGTAGATACCTCATATTCGCTTTAATTCAGTGGGCCGGAAGAGAATTCTGGCAATCATGGGGTCGCCATGGCTCTCAGTTGCAAGGCACATAACGCTCTCCTTTCATGGAAGCCAGTATCAACTAGAATAGCAGTTGCTCGTTTCAAAAGTCATACGATGAATATAACCATAATCTCCGTCTACGCATCGACCCTATCGTCAGCGTAAAGAACAAAGACGAATTGTACGATACTCTGCAGACGATGGGGAATCGTTCCAAAACGCTGGAGAAATCATTGGATCAATATCTGCGTGGAAGTTGCCGCTGACTGCAGCGCCTGGGCAGTTGCAATCCGCGACATTCATGAAGCCGGCACACAGTAAAGCCGGCCACAGTAAAGTAAGCATGCAACGCATTACTGAATCAGAAGATGGAGCGGATGGCGTGTTTCGTGTTGTAAAAGCATATATATGGCCCGAAAAATAGATGCCATTGTATGATATGTCTTCGGAATGTAACAACTGCCTTCGAGTCGGGCCACCACATCAGACGGGTTCGCGTATGCTACATTCCGCTCGTATAATGTCGACGTGCGGTACTGACACGTGTGTAACAGTGCTTAAATCCAAGTGAATCCTCGGAACCAAACCTAAGGAATGAATTAGAGCCTCACAATGGGATTCCCTGAGAAATGAATGTACGGTCTGGTGTTTACGTACAATGTCAAACACTCTTAGAAACTCCGTCATTTCAAGATAAATATTAGGAACAACAGTATACGAACTTCGCGTCGTTGCTTAAACATGCACAAGTGAATCGCTGAACTAAAGGTAGACAAACACCACCATTGGGGAATACAGCACTAGAGTCATAGCTACATCGGTGAGTAACAACAGGCTACCACATATTCCGACATCAACCGCGGCGCGTGTGGCCAGGTTACTTACCTTACCGGACTCCATGAGACACATGCTGTTTGGTGAACCTTTTTCTAATAATTTGATACGATCGTTTCGCAAACTGATTCGGTCGACGTATACGGTGGTACTCTCCGGAGAACTGGCACCCTGAGGAAGAAATCCAACGTCAATCACTGGTAGATTTAATCAAAAATGGACAGAATTGAAGTCACGCCTTGGCGGCATTAAGAAGAAGTAAGTGGAACGCAGCCGGAACAAATATCAAGTGAAAATAGGCATCAGGTAAATGAATAGTATACATACAAAAGCAGTGACTACCTTTTTTGCGGTGCTACGAGAACAAGAGATGGTTATGAAATCAATATCGACTAGAAAAATAAGTGTTCTTCAGAGGCTTGTTCACTAAGCCGAAGGATCCGGTCTGTCGTAACGATGTCTGGATCAAGATGGGACAGGTACGGAGGTAGTGCGGTGCATAAAAGGAGGCGCCAAGCACTCATTAATCCGGTGACTCAAAGATGGTGTTCCGTAATGCTTTCTATAATGCAATGCAATGTAGACAAAGCTCGTCTCTCTTTAGTGGTAGCGAAATGATACTAGTGATAAGACACATTCACCGTTTCTGACAGTGTTAATGAGTAATCGAAGGTTAATCAAAAGTACAAGGACACAAGTAAGCAGCAAGGGTTACTGCAAGAAAGTAGCATACAACCGTCATACATTGCGGTTATTGATCGCTCATTAACAGCGAAATAAGTGTCTTCATCTAACCTGAAACCATATAAAACAGATGACTCATTTGACTAACCTTAAAAGCGGAAGGCCACTGAAAACGTCTAACGACTAGGTGAATAAACAGAAGTGAAGCTGCAATGAGTACTCTATGGAGTATGTCGTCACCAAGAGCTCACACTCTGCACACCTTAGTTTATGTACCACTGTCGGTCGATGGTAGGCACTACGTGTGTGCCACAAACTTTCCTGAGTCTTTGTGAGTCGTGGGGGGTTATTGTATTTGTGAGAAGATTCGTCGCAGCCAGACAGTCACCACACAGCCAAGAAAGAGTTAGACGGCCGTTTCGTCCTATCGGGACCTGTCAGTAGAGCGCACCCGCGGGATTCGAACCCAGGAATGTACTCTTACGAGTCAGCGACTTATGCCACTGAGCCGTGGGTGAAGGCGGTGAACCGCCATACGGCGCGGTCCACTCATCCTCCACTGTCCTGCATGTTATGAATGTGCAGAGTACAGGGCAAGCCCCCAGAGCTACGACCACTTTCGCAAGTCGACAGCAATCGAGGTGGCAGTTAGATATTGGGCATTGTGGTTGCCGCAGTCAATCATGGCTCAGTGGCATACGTCGTTGAGTAGTAAGAGTAAACTCGTGAGTGCGCGTTACTGATGGCTCCCGACAGGATGAAACGGCCGTCTGGCTGTAACGAATTTCTTGGAGTCATCAACAGAAGGCCATAACATATCCACGCCCTTCATTGGCGTCTTATCATGTGAGATGGAATGCTAGTGGCAGCGGAATCGCACCATCAATCTGTACGTCGGCTAAAATTCGAGAACTTTGGACAGCGGAATTTAGTGTGCCGATATTCGTCATGGACAATAGTGGAAGTTCTATGTCACCCAAAGTCCATCCCATACCAGTAACCACGGAACACAATAGGATGTGATAGTAATTCACCAGGACAAGAAGGTAATTAGATTGGCGATAGGGACCTGGGTCGAGTGTGGTAGAAAGTGCCTATAAAATATCTACTGGGGAACGTGAATTCTTCTGAGTGTCAGATGCAAGTGTGCCAGTAGAAAACCAACCTGTAGGGATATGGCCAAATTAACTCGACATCCGAACGATGTAGTGACAGCTCGACCGACGAGACCCACAGAGGAGAAGAGTTTGCAGAACATAGCGGTGAGATGAACTCGAGGTCGTTCTTCGGCCACAACTACGAGACTCCGAAGACTCGAAAGAGTGAGATCACGATGCTGGAGTGAGTGCAGAAAGATAAATTGCTTTCAGGAGGTGGGACAAGAAGGAAAATATAACAAGTGGTGGAAAGCAACGTCTGACGGAGGTAAATACAGTGAAAACAAATAAAGCTGGGAGTGCTACTCCAGCGGTTTGGGTTTTGGTAGACGATCGGAGGCGAAGTCGGAATGTTAAGAGAAGTAGCACTTAGATTCGTCGTTAGATCAACTGAAAGATTTGCTCAGTGGTTTGACCTAACGGCTCAACTCAAAATGCAGAGTGTCAATTCACAGTAGAACTAAAAACGCAGTTGAACATGTAGAAAACACTGAAATTGACTACTACTTCATCCGGCTCGATGGAGAGAGGAGATTCCAAACCACTTCATTATTGAAATGGTTGATTTGTTACTGTATGAAAGTGAAAGAACTTCGAAGATGATATACCGCACGTCGGCAAGCACTGCTGAAGTTGTGGCTCGTGTTAACCGAAGTGCGTATATGCTGGGATAACTTCGTCATTGGTATAGGAACAGCACAGGAAAGTAGCGAATAAATTAGCATGATTTTACCGAAAAAACAAAATTCGCGTAAGGTACTTAATGCGTCTATGATTTATCAGGCGTGCAAAGGGGCCTTTGGAATTCCGCAAAAAGCAGTAGGAATTAATAAGATATTCAAGAGTGAAACAGGGTGAATTTCTACGAGTGTTGAATGTTACGTTCAGCGCAAGTGTCGTAAAAAAAACCCAGTGCCGCAAACAAGAAAACGGGGTGAACATAGGTAACAATCCATAAGAATAGTGCAGTTAGGTTAAGTTGACCAGGGATCGTACAGGTCGCATTGATTGATGTCGTCACAGAACAATTAATCATCATCATCCATGTGGAGGACGTGAGTGAAAAGACAAAAGGCAAAAGAACTAGAATTAGAAATAAATTTAAAAATGCAACAAATTCCGGATAGGAGAAATGGGATGGAAAAAAGAACAAGCACAAGGATATCAACAACTGCCATTTGGTTGATGATGCGGCTAACTTCGACGCGTCTATCCGGGAAGACGCAGGTACCGGATGACGTGGCGCCTCAGTCAAATTATGCACATTTTTTGTTAACACCATCGATCAACCACATAAAGGTATTGACAACTACGTGCACCTTCCAAAACAGTACACGCCATCTGAGTTGTTGGTGGGCCCAGGAAGAGTGCTCTACCTGGCGTAGCCGCCACCTACTACATATGAATAGTTGGCAAGTGTGGTTAAAAAAGTCTCTTAATACGCATTACTTGAGATAACCACGTTCCTGATATATGCATTATACTGGCCGCGCTGCACCACTACATGCTTTGCTTTTGACTGATGGCCAGCCGTATAAACAGGCGATCGAAGATGCAGAAAGGTAAATAAGTTTTACTGAAACCGAGTCAGTCGAAAACGGATCTCTTGCACAGAGCGTTCGGTCGGCTTGTCTCCTTCGTCTGTGCATAAATGTTTAACGTCTACGTGCGACCCTACGTGGAATGCATCATCCAGACGTGGCACTCCAGGCAGAAGGACGACCTCGTTGCGCTTGGGGCTCCACATAGAAGAGCATTTAAAAACGGTAACAGTCCCTCGCATCCGGTTCAGTAACTCGGAGTGCATAGTAGTTGGTATGGGCGCCTGTCGTTGAATCTCATAATGATTCTGAATAACCTAAATCAGATGTGTAGCCTCCCTCTGGGGGGCAATTGTGAAACCAACTTGGGAGGTAATAATCCAACATTGATTATGCAGTATAAACGGCTGGAATATCGTTGAAAGTTTCCCTTTCGAGTGTTCGTCGTGAAACGCCCTCTTCATGTCGTCTGTATCTGCCCAACTTTGCCGAAATTAAAAAAGTCTTGATGACGTGTGACGCCATTTATCTTGCACTATATAAACGGTGTACTGATAAATCCGAATCGAGAGGATTTATATTTGTTATCAGGTGGATTTCCCGTTGAGCCCTGGTGATCAAACTTCTTGACGAACTTCTCGTTGGCCTTGACAATCCGACCGGACTTGTCAACCGTAAGTGTAATTTGACCACAAAAGAGATACAGCTGCCCGAATGTGTTCGTTTATCGCGAAATCCGCGGATGTGTCCACATTGCCTTACGACAGTGAGTTTTCAGGAAAGTGTGGCGAGACGAAATTTGAATGACGTGCACACAACGCCATTTAGCTTAGATGTGAATGATAGCTAACAACCGTAACTCTCTAGCACGAAATTACATTTGTACATGTGTCACTCTAATCCAAGACTTGTCACTAAGAAGTGTCAGTAAAATCGGCCGGCGGTATCAAATCAAGTTATTGATTAGTGCATTGCATTCGTGTAAGCATTGCTTATAGATCACATGGCGCATGGATATTGTCCATTCCGCAAGGCGATGACTCGGGAGCTCGGACAAAGTCTCGAGGAATGTGTGGACAAACTTGGCTAGTCAAATGTGTAACAGTGAGTTGGCGATGGATAAAAAAACATCACTACGTTCAAGGCTTGTCAATGGTAGTAACGCGGATGTGGGGCGGTTAATATCTCGTATGAAAAAAACGTGCTCACCTTGGAGAGAGACATATGTTTGGCCATGTAGCGGGTAGCCAGTTCCATGGTGACATGGGAGCAAAAGGCATCGCGAACTACAATGATAATAAGTGTGGTAAACTAACGAGGAAAGCGCATAACTCAGGCGTTACAAACAAATGGTCTTAAGACGCTCCCATTGGAATGACTGAAATATGCGGTAGAAAAGAAAGCATTACCAGTTCAGAAGGAAATTAGTCTATTATATGACGTATCTGCAGAGTCGAGTAGTTAACAAAACAACCCCGTGTCGGTGGGAAAGAGACGCGTCATAGTGAAGCAATAAAACACCAAAATCCCAGAGTCTCTGGTGTGACAGATCAAGGCTGCATGTGAAAGTTCGTCAAAGGCTTGCGAGATAAAAGTAGGAGACAAAATAATTTAAACAAAATTAAACTGGTACAACGGTCGAGATGCACTAATGATTCAAACAACATTCAAGCATACCATGTAACCACCGGTATCATGGGCCAGTGTGTCTTCAATTAATCATGTGAGTCATTCTAACGTTTATGAAACCACTTCCCGAGGAAGCCGTGAAACAGTGTGTACATAAACAGTCAGGGATTGTATGTACCTACACGGTAACGAACGATAACCTAACCAACAAAATGTCACAATATTTGTGGAAATATCTTTCGACTACAAGCCGATCCAAGTAGTTTGGGTTGGAAATTCACTGTCGTAACGACAGTTGATTTACTGAGGGAGTGCGAAATATGCAGTAAAAGCTAGAGGTATTCAATCGAGGCGGAAAAACTAGTCCGTGGAATTTCAGACGTATCCTAGTAGTTTATTCGATAGAGAGGGAAAAACGAAGTCAACGCAGGTATGAAGTTAAAATGAAAACATCCATGGCGGAAGAAACAGAAAGACAAGATATAACGTAGCACGAATCCCGTTCGTTAACTGCATATAGCAAAACTAACCTTTGCGTTGGCTGCAAACAGTCAGCCATAGGTCCGGTACAATTTCTGAAATACCGGGAGGCACTAGGATGGAGTGATGGCCACAATGAACTGAAGTGAGGGTCCAAAGAGTGAATCCTAATCCAGAATATGGATCCAAGCAAAGCACTACTTCCCGTGTAGGATAAAATTCGCATTGGACTTTCTGTGCGCGACATAGGGCATACGCGACCTCGTGGGTGACACGAATTCCCGTAATAGTACCTGAAACCGATCGAGAAAGATGCCGGTAGTGGGGTAAATGATGGGATGACTTGATATAGGTGGTTGCAGCCAAGGTTTTTCGTAGCTAATGAAGAAGAGAAATAAAACGCAAAATACAACGCATGCAAATGCGATCAAGTGTGACGAACTGTTACATAGATTCGGTTCTCCATCTGCCCTCCTCTAAACGCCGTCCCCTGGATTCGCCCTAACGCGCAGAAACCGAAAGTAAGATCAGAAAGCTGAAATTGAACAAGGCTGCCGGAGCAGATGGACTTCATCCAGCCTTCTTCAAATTCGGGGGATCTGCTTTTTTGGACAATTTGCATAATTTAACAGTGAACCTATGGGAGCAGAGACTGCCCCAATATACTGGAGTAGCTCCGTTATAGTACCAAAGTTCGCGAGAGGCTCACGTTCGGAATGCGGAATTCTTAGAGAGATCTTCCTAATCTAAACTGCATCTACGTTACTAGCCTGTCGTGCTCCATAGACAGAATGGCACTCGCGAATCAGATGCGAGACGAGCAAGCCGAGTTTCGTCGAAATCGAGGCTGCATTGACCACACCTTCACATTACGCCAGTAGTTGGAACACGCCATGTTTACGGGCGACCTACCATAGTCGTGTTCCTCAACACCAAGGGTGCTTAGATTCGGTGGATCGATGTGCACTTTGCCGGGTATAAATGTCATAGGAGCGTTGTACTTGCATGGTTCGGGTAGAGTCAGAGTTCGTGACAAACTGTCGCCGCTCCTCAATATCTCCAGCTATGGGAAACAAGGTTGCTCACTGTCACCTTTTCTCTTTAACTTCACCAATGGCGAAGGCATGGAAACTGCCTTCATTACACGATGCACAAGGTGTAGAGCCGTTTCCAAGTGATCGACTTCTTGAGTTGGAGTATGTCAACGACATTGTCCTAATATGTGACAGCTCCCGAAGGTACCAAACTACACTGGATAAATAAGTTCTGGCTGTCAGTCGTTTCGTGCAATGCTTTTCACCCTCGAAATGCAAAGTCCTTCTCAACATTGGCAGGGACCCAGCCACCTCTGCGTTAAACCTTACTTTCGATCAGTTAGAAGTCGTCGAGAAATTCAGATATCTGAGCAGCTATATTAGCGCCTTTATGATCGAAGAACTTTTTTCAATTTCCACCACCTGAGGTGCCAGCGTGATATCACACTGTCGCTCTGAAGCGCAGAGTCTACAATGCAGCCGTACGTTCAACCCTCCTGTATGGATGTGAAACCTGGCCCATTAAGTCGACAGACACAAACAGGTCAGTTACGTTCGATCATCGTTGCCTTCGCATCTTAGCTCATGTCTGGTGGGAACACTGCGTGAGCAATGAGTGCGTTCGGCATCGCGTATTTGGTGCACGTAGAGCGACTTAACCGAGCAGCACCATCATTCTACGCACCAGGGTCCGATGGCTGGGCCACCTGTTGTGCGTGACAGCACATGGACTCTCGCGTCGCGCGTTATCTGCGCGACCGGCGTTTACATGAAAAATGAGAAGAGGAGGCCAAGCGAGGACTTGGTCAAAAGGAACAAAGGCCTTCACTTCGAATTTGGCGTCGGTTAGTGTCTCCTGATTGCTGGGCTGGGGACCGAAGGACGATGAACACGTTTGGTTGGATACCCTAGCTGACATGGTGAAAAGCCGACCTCAGTGGCGGTTGTGTTGTGAGTTTCTTTGTCCCTTCTCCTTCCCGCTTAGCTTGCCCCTCTAACAAGGATCTCGAGCCAATGCACAACATGATTTAGCACTATGTTACTTTCTTAGCTTTTGTAGTGGGTTATGTTCAATAAGTCATATTCTTTGTATTGCGGCACATTAGCTGAGGTGTGTTTCTCACCCTCGGATAACGTGTATTGATGAAGATAATGATGGTATACCAAGATAATGACAATATTGATTTGGGCGTTGCCCGCCAGACAACACTGTGTCAGATCAAAAGGTTCACTTCAATGCGAATCACTGTTCACACTGCGACATCCATAGGATGGCCACGAGAAGTATACACCTACAGAAGGACCATGGGTGGCTTGCACCGCACCACCCACATCCATTGTAAACCAAATGAATAAGAACGGGAGAAATGTGGTTGGGAGATATGCTTTATCAACGAAGCCGGTCCACAAGCCTTCTACATGCATAGCAGCTACATTCTTGTGCATCTAATTTGCTAATCATGCGTACCAGACGTACACAAGGTGTTTGCCGGGCCGTAGTCCGCTTCACATTGGATGGAACCACACTTTGACCTTAGAATGGTTACGAGGATCGTGCACCCGGTCCTCTTCCAGCAACGACCAACTGTCTCATAGAGCCAGTACAAAGTCGAGGTAACGGTTTTTCGACAGACAGGCACCTTGTCAACATTCACATCAAGCGCAGCCACACCGGGGATATCAATCATTAACTAAAAACCTGAAATACAAGAAACTCAAGACGCATGCTCGCGTACAGATCAAGAGCAGCGATGATGTAGCACACGTACCACATCGACCGCATTACTGACCTAAGTTGGTAATTTGCATCGGAAGCAGCGTAATTACCGAGCACCGCGCTGATGATTATTATATTTATAGCTTACCCGTCTTCTCTTAGATCTTGGCCCCACGTGCCCACAATGCTGGCTTGGCTCAGGCACTCCCGAACGCAGGTGTTACAGCACCTTGCGCTCAGCGTCGATGGGCTAGTATCCATCGGCCACTGTCAACTCCGTAAGCGGCCCTTCTCCTGCACTTGGGCAACCTCCCTGTTGATCAGCTTACTGCATTCGCGTCGATCAAATGCCCTTGATTTCCAACAACAACGTAATTTCGGTTTCTCCGCGTGCCGCTTCCATGCACTAAGTTGTCCATATAGCAGATGTTTAGGTATCCACGTCGAATCTATGCGGGTGATAAGTCCCATCTACCTCAGGTGCCTCAGCATAAGTATGCAGTCCACTGCATACATGCCACTGCGTCGCAGCACCTCCGTGCCTTCAACTCGGTCACCCCAGCCGATGCGCAGAATATGAGGCAGACACTGTTGATGCAAGCGCTCCAGATAACGGACATCCTTTCGGTACAGCGTCCAAGTTTCGATGCCGTATAGAAGGACGGAAAGCAACATAGACTTGTATACAATAAGCTACGTACCGACAATGAGCAGGTGGTTGTTCCACACACGTTTTTCCCAGCTTGCCAAATGCGACAGCTGCCTTCGATACGCGCCTGCGCAATTCGCTTGTCATCTGCAGGTCGGTGGACGTTACGTTGCCTAGATAGCAAAATTTCGAAATGCATTCCAAAACGTAATTGTTAATGTGGATTTGCGGCAGACCCACAGATTCCACTTCCGGAGAAGGATGAAACAAACAAACAGTCTTGCATGTGTTAATCGTGAGTCCGAAAACGGCCGCTGTCTGAGCGAGAGCCGGATTCATGTGCGAAAATTCATCCGCGTTGTGTGCAGACAACGCACGGTCGTTTGCAAACAGCAACATACGGATGGTTGTTTCACACACTAGGGTTACCGCCCCGAGAAGACGGTGGTACAGCAACCCACCATCAATACGGTGCTCCACACAGACACCGTAATCACACGCAGCATCGCAAGGCAGCCAAGACACAACCTTGCTTCATAACAGAGACACCAGTCAGCTGCGGTTTGCCCACAAAGCTGCATCCTAGCCCGCATATACCACTGGACCGAATCCGGCGCGCGGGCCGTAGTTTAGTGACTCCTGGTCTAGACTCATGATATTTACAGCTGACTCAACAGTAGATTAGATCACATTGCACGAAACCTGCGCTTCCGATGGAATTTCGAGCTCCGCAGATGAGCCGAACTGTGATACGTTTCTACATCAAGAGCACGAGGGTTGTCAGAGTATGAATGTAAATAAGGCAGCGCAAACCAGATGCGGTGGAACGAGATGGGCACTGATTCCATTTTGACACGGATATAGTTGCATGTCTAACAAAGAAACTCGGTAGTTGCCACTAACCGGTGGTTGACGCAACGAAATCGAGATATGCGATGGGTTGCTCCATACAAGGATTTTGATGCAGAGGAGGAACCTTTTTCCGGAAGGTTTCTTCAGAATCCAGGATAGTTGGCCAATGACCGTAAGGTACTTTGTTAGTTGCCTCCTGAACGAAATAAAGTGGTGGAGATGAAGTACTAATGAGATAAGTAATAAGGAGCTCAGTCTAATAGGTTCAACAACAGCGCTTTATGAACTGTTAATAAAAAGAGGAGTCTATGAGGATGTGAGGAGGAACGAATACTGACTAAGGAAAAAGAAGTGTAATTACTTTGGACTTGAGCAACTTGATGATCGATTGTTGCGTTAGAATAACCGAGGTACCCGAATGGTTAACCACGTTCCAGATCAGCTCAACCGAAGACGAAAAAGTCGGAAATGGTGGCCTGGCGTGAATACTCATCCAACTGTCGGTGCTGCCGGAAATAAACTGACCAGCACTTCCAGAGGGGCCGAAAAGGCCCAAAGCAGATGTCGAACCTGAACCTGGAGGACCAGATAAATGTGAGGTGGATGATTGGCCACTATGTCCTCCAACACTCGCATCTTGAGTTTGTTCAACGCGCGGAGGTCTCACAGGCACAGGAATCGCTCCGATGAGTAGACAGGCATAAAATGCGCAGACTAGTTCGATTCCTGTAAAAAAAGGACTGTTATTGTCTGGCTCTGAAAGATTCCAATCGTATAGACATAGCATCGAAAACAAAATAAAGGCAAGCAGCTTGCAAGCCTAGCTGAGCAACTGAGATCAAAAGACGACAAACGGTCGAAACCGATAGCATTGTTGGCACATTATCGGAAATGCTTTGACTAAAATAAATCATGCTATCATAATAAAGGTATATAAAGTGGATGCCATAAAAAACAGCGCGGTTACTTCAAGCACTAGCATGAAACGGCCCTCCGCAAACTTCGCTGCAAAATGTGACAGCCGCAGTACCAATGACATTTATCTGTCCGCATCATTCTGTCTAGTATCCGAGTCCCCAGCTATCAAAAAGCTGCGTAGCAAAACAAATCGACAGATGTACGCCGTAAGGACGCTTCGGTGCCGCACGACCACTAACAGTCGGACGTGGGCTGGGTAAACCCTGAGTACGCCCGCCCCTACGCGGATTCGAACCAGTGACCTTATGATTACAAACCAGAGGTGCAGGCCACTCGGCTGACACAACATCGGCTGATTTATCTGGGGTTCGCATACTAATACGTCTGCATGCACACAGGATAACGTAGGGGGTGAATCGCTTGTGGTAACCGAAGTAACTGCGCGTACCCTATCTGCTCGTCGTTGTTGCTTGCAAACTTCCGGGGATGTTGGGGTATCAGTTAAAGGTCAATCTAGGGTGAGTAACGCCACTGCTACTAGACTATCATAGCGTGTAGCCTAAGTCTCGAGAACGAGTATCTTGAAGGATCCGCAATTAGAACCACTGCGTCAACACAATTTGTTACAAAGACTGCGCACAATTGTACATAAGCTAAATCGCAAGAGAGCTACGCACGAGGATTGCAGAACACAAGACACATAGCACAGCCGCCAAGAAACAAGCGTGAACACATGGCTATACTAATGGATTCAGCAATAGCGATGAACGCCATTGACACGGATCATGATATCGACTTGGATAACGTCGCAATTGTTAATAGGGGGTTAGGATAGACATCACGAAGGCTGATTGCTGAGAAAATTGAGATTAGCAAGGTGAAAAGGTGCGTGAATAGCACGGACAGTCTTTTGCTGCGCAGCCTCTTCATATCTCAGTGGCGTTGGCCGATCCATGGTTGGTTCGACTGTAAGCGCCATTTGAAGCTGAGGTTCGTAAAGCGATCACAGCCATTATTCATACCCATGACATCGATCCGGCTTTTCTCACACAAACGTTGTTATTGGCAAGGTCTGTTGCAGGAAAGTGACCGTAGTATCGTACGGAAGGGGAAGATTACATCGGATAGATGGGACGAACATACTCTGATAGCAAAAGTTATGAAGAGTATTCACGACGTGTGTGTCAACGACAGGGATGTTGGCTTTGTGCGGATGGTAACAAAGTCGCTGACCTTCACTCTGGTTGCCGCCGCATGGCGAAATCAGAATTCCGGATAATAAGGAAGCAGACACATGACCGACCGACACGGGGGATGATAGGCTGTATTTTTACTCAGCTGTAGATGCTCAAGCAGCGTGGACATTTAACGAACTCTGTAGATGGACACCTGAAATTGCGTGAGGATCAACAGTAAATTGATGGAAACTGTTCCAATTACAAGTGGTGTTGGACAGGGTTGTCTAACCTCATTGCTTCTAAGGAATAAGTCCGATCTCAACTGCCTCTACCGTGAAAGTCAGATGCGAGAGGAGGAAACCGGGTTACGTCGAAATCGAGGCTGCATTGACCACATCTTCACATTACCTCAAGTGTTGGAGCACCGCCATGTTTATTGGCAATCCACCGTAGTAGTGTTTCTAGATATCAAAGGGGTCTTTGATTCTGTTGAGCGCTGTGCCCTTTGGGACTGCGCTCAAGAGAGGTGTGCCCGAGGAGTATGGAAATATCATAAAAGCGCTGTATGTACATAGTTCGGGTAGTGTGAGGGCTTATGGTAAACTGTCGCCACTCTTCAAAATCTCCAACGATGGAAAACAAGGTTGTCCGCTGGTACCTTTCCTCCTTAATTTCACCAATGACGAAGTCATGGAAACTGCCTTCATTACACGACGTAAAAGGTGTAGAGCCGTTTCCAAGTGAGCGACTTCTTGACTTAGAGTACGCCGAGGACATTGCCCTAATCTCTGACAATTCCCGAACGTGTCAATCAACAATGGACATATTAATACTGGCTGTCAGTCGTTTAGCACTATGCTTCGCACCCTCGAAATGCAAAGTCCTCCAACATTGGCAGGAACTCACGCCCCCTCTGCACTGACTCTTGGTGGCGATCAGCTAGAAGTCGTCCGAAAATTCAAGTATCTTGGCAGCTACATTAGCGCCAGTGGAATTGAAGATGAGGTCACGAACCGTATAGAAAAATATGACATATAAATATGAAGTGCAACTGGAAGCAAAAGCGCTATTGGGGAAAACGCTTGAATAGTAAGCGTCGAGAGGGTGTTTTGAATTCAGGCTGTGTCGATTGCAAAAGAGTAGACTTTCCGTAACCAATCGGAACAGTCTTACATCAGTGAAAATGACACTGTTAAGAATGTCCGCAGTTCCATCCTCGAACAGCTGCTTGAACCGGCCATCGGAATTGGACAGATGACGCATTCTGAATAGTCTACACGTTACTGAAGCGGAACCCCAAAAGAGTCAAAAAGCGTTAGTTGGCGACCGCTGAGGCTATTGCAACCAGACTACTTCAGTCGTTGTGCAGACATAGAGCACTGATACAAGCTCTCAATTCACCCTGGTCCTAATGTCGGCCAGTGCCTGGGACTGAAAGTGACCAAAATGCCATGTCAACCGAGTAGAAGCGGTAAACACCGTAGTCACCGGTGGGTCCTACACATAGAGATGCCAATAGTTGGAAGTGCCAAACAGCCATTTTGCAGTGATGAACTTGTGTTGATCCATAAATGCAACCGTTTTCAGCTCTGAATATACACCCAATCAGTTGAGTCTTGGCTTCCACATTTTTCCGTCGGGATCAGGGCGCCAGACAGAAGACAGTGGGTGTAGCGTTAAGTGGAAAGGGCGAAACAACGAGCGCCTGCAGTAGTGATGGAGAGAGCAATTCGACGATTAAGTGGAAGTAGGAACATAACTACTGTGGTGTGGAATGGAACTGCTGACTCAGTCTGCACTAGGTAAATAATAGCTAATGCCATCGAGCGTTACCGGACTAAACTGGGGAAGTACAATTGCAACCCTAAAAGGCTGGGGAAGCAGTGAAGGTATTGATTATAAAGCCAACCACCGATATATCCACAGGGTTTGCCTGTCGAGCGGTTAAAAACAAACCTCATGTATCACATCGCATTTCGATAGGTGACGAATGGAGTAGTGAAACGGAAATCCATGGCTAATAACATAAGAACACCACAGTCGCTCAGGATCAGTGGTCCAGGCATGACCAGTGTGATGAAGCGTAAGTCGCCAAACCTGGAGGGCGATAACTTCATATCCACACTGCTCTATTGAGAGAAACCGACGCGATTGACAATTCTTCAAGGTAAGGAGTGCGCAGGGATCGCAGCGAAGTTCTATGTGTTCGCTGCTAAGCAGGGATTACAGAAGTCTCGTAGCATGGGCGACACTATCCGTCCTGCAATAACCAGGAGACGTAAGTGATCGCTGTAATTCGCAAAGATGTGGGTGTGGCATAGTGAGGAACACAACCAGCCTATGTACTAGCGACAGAGTCGAGTAAAGCAATTACCTTATTCAATGAATGCGGATAGGATTGTCTTATCGGATATAGCACAACGCACAAAATTAAATACATCGAGCTGGTGGGTTTTCACGTAGGTGATGACCAAATCGTATAAGTTAAAGACGCAGTAGAAAAAGAATCAGGAATGAAGCCGTAATAGACTTACCGGGAGGATAGAGAAGAGAAACGACAGATCCAACAGAAGCTCTACCTCGCTCTTGTAGCAGACAAGCAAGACGCTCAGCTCGCCTCAGGAGCTGTATGCAGGTCAAAGTAGAAGCCTCCTGGCCCTTGTGGTTGTATACAGTGAACAGGCGGTCATCCGGAGTATGCGTAGCGCGCCAAATCAAAATCTCCGTCAAATGTTGGGACTAAAAGCAAAAAGATCCAACGAGATGACCAAGCCTGTGTCAAAGTGATCTCAAGTTCATATGATAATAGGGTAGACGTAAAGCAGTCACGACTAAGAAGCAAACTGGATGATCATCTTTGATGGAGATCACTCAGGATACAGGCACACAAATCGTGTGAAACGCCTGGAAATAAATCCAAACACAAACACCGCCAACAATAAGTATGCGTAGAAAGTGTAAGAGATAGACTAATTTCGTGTGTATTGCCTTGGGAAAGTGATCTAGACAGTTGAAGGCGAACCTTTCCATCCGGAGTGAATGGAGGGCTAGCAGATGGTACCGAATTGGCTGGCAGAGGACGACCGCGAGCTTCGGCCATGCGAACACCCTGGACGACTTGTCCACACATAATAGCTGATGGTCCGACGAGACCGGGTCTGATCTGACGGGGCTGTGGAAGGTTTTGGATGGCGGAATGGGGGCACAGAAGAAGAGCCGAGGGGTGTAGCTGGCCGTCGGAGAACAAGCGCTTCACCGAATGGTAATTTATACCTCCGAACGGAGTCTACGGAGAACAAGGAAGCAATGGAGGAACATTATTCACAAAAAACCAAAGTGATACGACAAAACAACAGGTAGTAGATGGGCATGGAGCGGATCAGAATATATAGATTAAAAACGTTCATCTTAGAGAGGCGAAAGCTGTCCCGCATCACAAACCCACTAGACAATAAAAACATCTAGCTGCATAAACAGGTAGATGCATGTGACAATCATACAATGAGTTATTAGGAGTTAAAATTCAAGCAGAGAAACGTGATACCTCCGATGCAGAATTATGGCCAAAAATGCTAACATGACAAGATATGCGACGGTGGCTGTACATGAAAGGGTATTGCGCCAAGGTGAAGATAGTGGACAGAATAGGAACACGGCAATGGTAAGATGAGGGATGAACGGTTGTATAAACGTCAATAAGAAGACAAGCAGTAGATCACAGAAAACCATTTCCGAATACTGACACGATGATCCACTAATCCTAGCTGTCACAGACAGTCACCCCAACCAGAGAAATTTGGACGGGCGGAATCGAGGATCAAGTTCCAACAATGAAAGAAAAGTTAGCATCACACGTTGGTTAAAGGTGAGACGCCTCAGCTATTGTGCCGCAATACAAAATAATAAGATGTGTGAGGAAAAAACGAGATAAAAACATTGCTGAATGCACAATAGGAACAAAAAACAAGTATTATAATTCTTTGTGTCAGATAATACATCGAATGTGAGATTGTGGATAGTGGGGGAAGCTAACCGAGAGACGTTCATAGTCTTTGAGATTGCAGCTCGGCAGCTGAAAAGCACCAACCGACGCGAAGTTCAAAGTGAGGGTCTTCATTTCTCCTGATCAAATCACCGGTTGGCGTCCTGTCCTCTGCTTCCATCCACACTGGTCAGGCAAATAACGCACGTCGTGGTGCTTTCATGTGCAAGAGGTGGTCCAGCATCGGAGTCTGCTGCGTGATATAACGGTGCTGAGCAGTTCACTCGCTCTACGTGCACCAAATACGCGATGCCGAACACACGCATAGTTCACACGGTGTTCCCAACAGACATGAGCTAAGGTGCGAAGAAAACTATGATCGAACGTAAATAGACTCTTTATATCTGTTGACCGGATGGGCCTGGTCTCGCATCCATACAGGAGGGTTGAACGTAAGGCTGCATTGTAGACTCTGCCCTTCAGAGCGAGAGAGATCACGCTGGCGCCACAAATGATGGAAATTGACAAAAGTTCCTCGAGCTTTCGTTATTCGGCTCATCATCTCGTCTTCAATTGCACGGGTGATACATTAATTTCTCAACGCGTTAAAGCTGATCGCCCCAAGTGTTGGTGCAGGGGACAGTATCTGCTATCTTGGATAAGGATCTTGCATCTCGAGAGTGCGAAGCACAATTGGAAACGATTGACAACGAAGACTAATCTGTCCATTGTTGCTAAGCACGTTTTTGAGCTGTTACGGAACAGAGCAATGCCGTCAACACACTTAAAGTCAAAAGCGGATAAGCTGGAGGTAATTACACACCTTCTCAGCCGTATGTAGTAAGCCCAGATTCCATGACTTTGACAATGAGGAAGTTAAAAAATAATGAGAGCGTGTATCGCTATCTTACACGGCTGGAAATACTGAAAGGCAGTAACAATTTGTTATAAAGCCACATTCTCTCAGAACTACGCGAGTACAGGGCTCTAACAACATTTATGACTCGCTCGGGTACAGCTTGCTTAAGCGAACAACCCCAAAGAGCACATCGATTCACCGAATCCAAGCCACATTTGATATCGATGAACACGACGAAGCAGTTCGTCACAATAAGTGGCGGTGCCTCAGCAACCGACATAAAATGAAGATTTCGATACAGCCTTGAGCAAGACGACGCCTCGCATGTTTTTTTACGGATCTAGCTCTTACGGGTACCAGTCAATTTACGAAGGATCACAGATACGAGCGACATAGAGGTAATTGCAATCAGGCTGATCCCTGTATGATTCCGCATTTGGGACCTGAGCCTAATCGCAAAGATTGGGACAATAAGGCAGCAACTCGATCGTTTCTCAAACGAACAGTTGGTCTCCCGAAGTTGAAGACGACTGAAGCGAGTAAGTTAGGTACTTCGGCGTTACTCAGTTTAGACTACCTGATCTCACGTAAGAGTTAGTAAGCAAACAGAAGAATGTATCAGCAGAATGTTAGACGCCTAACTACTGCAACTTTCTGTGGAGCACCAGGTTTCTTAGTAGCACCGCTTTTAGACACAGTGGGCGCCGAAGTGCCAGTTGGTGTCCAACTATAACTGGCCAACGACGGGCCCAAATCGATCACATTGCCATAAGTTACAGGTGGCGTGTTTACATACTGGACTGTCACTCATAGTGGAGCACTTGTGTCGACTCTGATCATGCCTCGGTACGCTGTCATTTTTTACCGAACTTTACCGGAAAGCGCACCAAGCGTGTTCCTCGATTTGCGACTCAGAAGTTATCTCAGTCTTTGGTTAGCCAAGCTTAACAGGATGCCCTGTGTACCGAACTTTCGATCTCTTGTCCTAATGACACTGAGGTTCAGTGTAATAGGATCTCGACCGCCATACACGAAGTGGGGTTTTCTGCTTGTGTTACGATCAGTCATCACATCACCAGTCACTGGATATTCAAGAGGTTGGTGAACCTGTTGGAATCCAGAAGAAAACTCCCGGCTGGTACAATGTTGCCAGACGGATTATCAGGTGTGTGCTGAGAAGGAAGCTTGGTGGATCAGTCGGGCTGAAGAAATGGAAAAGGCAGGAGCAGAAGGCAATCATCGCAAGCTATTCAAGTGATCCGCACCACAGATCTCAGCAAAGTAGGTGCCAAGAGGCAATCAGAGACAGCTCGGGTGCCATGATTCACAATAAGGGACGCCATATGGCTCGTTGAGCGGAGTACTTTCAACAGTAGTTCAGTTGGCCCGCTCATCATCACAATCATCATCATCAAGAGCAGTACATCAGCCATTTGAACTGATGCTTCGCTGCCATACAACCATGAGGACCTATGAAATAAAGAATAAGAAGAGGGAGAGAAGGGGGACTTACCCGAAAACCTTAATGCCGTAAGCAAACATTCAGGGTCAAGGCGCCTACACCTTGTGTTAACAACATACCGTCACAAACAGCTGGCTATCGTGCAAAGATAAGGCTACATCGGCGAGACAGCTTCCTTGCGGCTTTCACTGCTCCGCGTCATAATCAGCCATTACCCCGCAGATAACTCAGCACCAAACACACTTTAAACAGACAATCCGATTAGGAGACGGCAGCAGACGCGCCATTGGTGTCGGTTGCGAGCCATGTCCTGTAAAGTCTCGAGCCAAGCACAAGGTGAGTCACGTGGACTCCAACCCGGAAGGCGAGACGGACCAACGGCACCCAGTTTGGTCGTCAGTGACTTCATTTCCCGCTGCCAAGTCAACTTCTGTCCACCTCGAGCCTTGCGCCATCTTACACCTGGCAGACTGAACAAGGCCCTCCTAGGTAAGCGGTGACCAGGCATACGTAGCACGTGCCCGAGCCAACACAACTTATTCAGTGCTATCTGTTGTTCTAGGGAGCTAGCATGACTATCACTACCTAGTACTCGCCTACGCACATCATCGTTGCGGACATGCTGGTGCCATCCGACACCAGCAATGCTTCGCAAACAACGATGATCAAAGACTTGAAGGCGCCTCAGATCTTCAGACCGAAGGGGCCAAGTTTCACTACCATAGAGCAGAACGGCCCTCACTGTGGCCTTGTATACACGGCCTTTCAGACGGAGAGAAACTCCCTTCTGTCGCCAAAGATGACGCACGTTCAAGAAGGCAGCTCTGGCCTTTGCAATGCGTGAGCTCACGTCAGTTTCTATGCGCCCATCATTGCTGATGCAGCTGCCAAGATAAGTGAAATGATCAACCACATCGAGTTCCTCGTTAGCAAGCGTCAAGGGGTCATCAAGTGGCTGGTGATCCTGCAGCAACACTTTGCACTTTGAAGGTGCGAAGTGCATACCAAATAATGGGACCACTCTGGACAGGCTATTCAGGGTTGACTGTGCCGCCTCAACATCGTCGAAAAGCAAGACGATATCGTCCGCATAATCTAGATCAACTAACCTTTCACCAGGCAGCACTTCAACGCCTACATCATGAGATTCCGCAAGGGAACACTCCATGATAGAATCCACGACGAAATTGAACAAAAACGGGGAAATCGGACAACCCTGACGAACGCCACTTGTAGTCGAAAAGCTATCCGATAGGGCACCATAGACCCTGACGCGGCCTATAGTGTTCGAGTATAGAGCACGAAGGATGTTCACATATTTCGTGGGAACATCTTTTCGCGCAAGTAATTCGAACAGAATCGATCGATCGACTGAATCGAACGCACTCTTGAAATCGATGAACACAGCTATTGTCGGTCTGCGGTATGCGTGGCGCTGCTCTAGCATCTGCCGCAAAGTAAATATATGGTCTATACAGCCACGTCCTGGGCGAAAACCGGCCTGCTCTTCTCTAATCCGAGATTCCCGTTCTGCAGTGAGGCGACGAACGATAATCGAGGCCAGTAATTTTGTCACAACTGGCGTTAGGCTAATACCCCTGTGGTTCGCACAGTGTGCGACTGCCCTTCTTGTATATTGCCACTATAATCGATTCGCTCCAATAAGCTGGCACACTCTCTTCGTTTCAGATACGTTCGAATAGGGAGGTCAGTGCCCTGCAGAGGACCTCACCTCCATCCTTAAATAGTGCAGGTGGGAGGGAATCCGGGCCAGCGGCACGAAAACGATTGAGGGCTGTGATCGCGTTTTGGACCTCGGCCTCTGACGGAGGCTCTAAACTAACCGTCCATGGCACGTCCTGCATCACCTGAGTAGGAAGAGGTCCGGGAGCAGGGGGCCAGCTGAACTGATCTTGAAAGTGTTCAGCCCAATGAGCCATACGGCGCTCCTTATTGTGTATCAGCGCACCCGCGCTGTCCCTGATTGTCTCACTGACGCCTG